TGAGACCAATGAACATTTTGGGTTTGCTTACAGAGCACAGGTGAGAGGTTACTTATGGGAGCATTAGTGACCCCCAAACAGCTGCCTCACTATTAAGTCCCCCCCCCCATCATGGAGTCCTCTTTTCAGTGAACCTTCCACTTGCCCAGTATTGAGGAGTGATAGCTCAGACTGTCCCTGTTCTCTGGATAAGGGAGGGGGAGGTATCCTCAGCTCGTGAAAGAAGAGACCAGAGTCCCAGGTGAGGGACGTCATTACCATCATCATAGACTTGGCTACTGTGGTATTATTCTGCTTTAGTTGTCATGGCTCTGAGGTAAAGTTCAAGGTGGCGTCTTACTATGCCCAGAGGTATAAGGGCCATACGATACCAGGCCAGAAGTCCACTAGGTCCCGAGCTGGTTCTGCGCTCTGGGCACACCCAGGAGAACAGGCATTCCACCCCCATTTGCAGGCATCAGTCACTTTGCCGGACAATGACCAGGACCAGGAGGAGAGAGGGATGCAGATCCATGAGCCTGACTTAAGCTCCTCCCTCAGCTCTGTCCTCATCCAGCATGGCAAGAAAACAAAAGAGGGACAAAGAACCCACGTCCTTTCCGGTGTTCCAAGTGACCAGGACTTAACCCCAGATCTCTCCCACCTTAGTTGGCCACTGAGTGTGGCTCTTTTACAAAGGAGCTATCAGACACCCTGGGTGGCCCTCCTTACCCTCCCTGTCTCCATCTCTCCTAGTCCTGAAGACCCATTGTTCATCTCTGATTTGTCCTCAAAGGAGAAACCGGTGCCTCAAACGTCAATCTCTCCATTCAGAAGGTTCAAAGATGCAGCTCACCCTCTGTGCTTCTCTCTAGGCTTCATTATCTTTTTGTAAGTTTATCTGTTGCTGGTTATTTTTTTGTTTATTTGAGACTTTAAGAAAAGATGATTAAAAAGGCTGCAGTGTTCTGTCTGCAAAGGGAACCTGATGCATAACTTCCTGTCAGGAATGAGGCTGATTATAAAGACAGGGAATGTTATATTCCCCAGAAGGGAAGAACATTAGATGGAAACTATACAATATATGGAGAATCTGAACATGATGGGGCTTTAAAGGAAAGACAGGCTTCCCTGTAAAAGCTTGTAAGGAGCAGGTAGATCTTGAACACAGCCCTGACTATCCTGGAACTTGTTATGTAGACCAGGCTGGCCTCCCTCTCAGAGATCTACCTGCTCCTGCCTCCCAGGTGCTAGGATTAAAGGCGTGAGCCACCATGCCCAGAAGATCTGATTTTTTATAGCCTTTTAGGGGTGGTGGGAAGGTTGTACACCTCAGATTTAGTTCAGCATAGTATATGTGACAGGGAACATGGAGGAGTCGGGTACCATAAATTGAGAACTGCCAGATCACAACACAAACTCCTTTTTAACTCCATCTCAGAGAGTTGTGAGGAGACATGGCCTGATTCAGGCTGTGGGATTCGCTCTAAAGATGCAGGCTTGTGTCCTAACAGACACTAGTGCAGCTGGCCTCAAATGCCTGTTTTCCTGACCTGCTTCCTGAGTGTTGGCTACTATAACACTGACTGTGGCCTTCCAATGCTGTGGTTTGGTGATTTCGTTGAAATCACTGCTATGAGCTCTGTGTCTCTATCTCATTTTTATCCAGGCGGCGGCTCTGGTGTCCATTGCTATCCTGATCCCAGCACACAAGCTTGTGTGGTTGGTACAGCATATCCCGTGAGAGAGGGTCCATAACATTCAGCTCTCATCCAAGGGAAAAGAAGACCTTTAGCAGGGGCCTCTGAGGTCCCGAATCTTGGCTTTAGAGCTCAGAGGGTGCTGTCCATGAAAAGACCTGTTTAGTGGCCCAGGAATCAATGAGTTATACCAGAGGCGTTTCACAGCTGCTAAAGAAACATGTTCCTTTCTACACAGCTTTCTTTTATTGGCATCTTTCTATGTAGATGGCCAATGGAGTTGTGTCAATATTGTGAGTGGGCTGTGCAAGCCCCCTGAACAGACATGTATGTGTCTTCCCATGATGTCAGAATGTATTGAATAATGATAAATTCACAAGATCCAGTGGATTCAATGATAGCAACTTGACGGGTAATCCTGCTTATGTTGGTAGCCTGACCAGGGTGAATGCATGTTCTCTTACTACATTCATAATTACTAATATAAACTCTCATATCATACAGCACATAGCAAGTGTGTGTGTGTGTGTGTGTGTGTGTGTGTGTGTGTGTGTTGTATTTTAGTATGAATATAAGTTAAAGACACCAGAGAAGAGTTCAAAAGGTTTCAGAAGTGGGCTGAGAGAATGCACACAGAATTAGTATTGATGAAACAATAAACTCAAAACCGTCCACCAACATCCATCTTACCTACTCACCTACACACCAGCCAGCATCTACATACCCACATATTCAACCATCAGTCCAGAAAAGAAGCTGTTTCTGATGCTGCAGGAGAACCAGGGTTGTGAGGCCAGCTGTAAGGTGACAGGCCAGAACCGGCTGGTAGAACAAGTAGGTCATCTTTACGGTTTGGTATGCCTGATACATTCTTTTTCTTGGTTTTTAGAGACAGGGTTTCTCTGTGTAGTTTTGGTGTCTGTCCTGGATCTCACTCAGCAGACCAGCCTGATACATTCTTGGGCCTGGCTTTCCTCATATGATTTTAATATTCCCATGTACTCTACAGTCTCAGGTCACCCTATAAACCTATAGGGTGGCTCCTTTTCTACTCTCAGGAATAAGCCAAGAGCAGCCTGTGCTGCCTCAGTGGTACCAGATAGATGGTGTTGCCTGCAGATCCACACCCCCACCCCAGGCACAGTAACGTTCCACCCTCAAAATGGACGAAAAAGCTGCTGATAAATGGAGTCTCAAGCCAGGTGGTAGTGGCTCACACCTTTAATCCCAGCACTGGGGAGGCAGAGGTAGGCAGAATTCTGAGTTAGAGGCCAGCCTGGTCTACAGAGTTCCAGGACAGTCAGGGCTACACAGAGGAACCCTGTGTCAACACCCACCCCCCAAAAAACCCAAAGAGCCTCTGAGAGCAAGGCATACTCGAAAGACCCAAATCACTGCTTCATAGGACACAGAATAACTGAGAGTGGGGTAGCCTGATCTCAACAGTCATCTTAATTTTCTCATAAGGTTTTATTGGCTCTAGAAAAGAATTTCTGCTTTTTGGCCAGCAATTTGTTTATTCATTCATCTACGGATATGTTCACCAACCCACTCCTCATTCAACCACCCATTCCTATCAACATCCATTTACCCACCCACCCACCCATATACCAACTGAACATCTAGACACCTACCCATTCAACCATCCATCACTCCATCTGTAAAGCTGCTCATCTATCCATTCACCTACTCAACCATCCATCCACACATTCATTCATCTACCTATCTATCCACCCACCCACCCACCTATTCATCTACTTACCTACTCATTTACCCATTCACCCACTCACCTATCCATCCATCTACTGACCCCCATCTATTATACGCAGACACACAGAGAGACATAGACACACTCATTTTCCATGTCCATGCTGAATCCTCTTCACAGGCCCACAGCTAAATGCTGGAGACTAGAGGTGGCCTTGGCTTTTCAGGAGGTTCCCACTCTAGGATGTACTGTGTATTATCATGGAAACTCAATTTCTCTTGCAAAATTCAGCCACCTTCTTCCTCCTAAAAACAATCTGGGGACAGGTAAAGGCCAGAACACCTGACACCAAATTCCCTGGTCTGTTTTTGGGATGCTGTGCAGCTGGTCCATGAACTGCTAAGATACGTTCCAAGTGATGCCTGAGCCTCCACCAGGGAGGGGAGTCAAGTCTCTCTCTCTCTCTCTCTCTCTCTCTCTCTCTCTCTCTCTCTCTCTCTCTCTGAGGTGGCACAGCTTCCCTTGATGGATTAATGGGTCTAAATGTCACTGAGGCTCCTGATCTACAGCCTGTATTCCCTATGCTCTGCATCAGGCCTGCCTCTCAGAGGGCAGCAGGGTGAAATGAAAGCCACTATTTTAAAACACGAGAACACCATGACAAAACAAGAATGATGTGAAGGGCTCAGGCTTGGCAGCGCTCCGCGGCATACAGTGACCGCTCTCTGCCCTTTAGAACCCAGGGGCTGGGGAGCTGGCTCATAAAACCCAAGCCATACGAAGACTGAATGGCAATGCTATTCCTCACAGACTGGGAGATATACAGCCTGGCATGGCATCTGGTCTGTAGGAAGTCATCAGTCCTGGAGCCAGACAGACCAGAAAATAGAGACCCTCACATTACCTTACTTAGGCATCTTACAACAGACCCCTGAAGCTCGGGACAGGCAGGAACTACTCCAAAGTGGCCCAGCTTGTTGGGGGAAGAGCTGGACCTGGACTCGCATCAGGACTCCTTCCCAGCCTTCTTCCCCTTCAACTGGCCAGTGACTGGCCTAGTCTTGGCACTTAAAGCTCCAGGCCTAGACCATGGAAAGGCCTGAATCCAACCTTTTTGCTGGAGATCAGATTCCAGGCCAGGGCTGAGAGTTCTCGTCAGATGGATTCACCTCCACATTTCAGTACTCAGGGGACAGTGGGGAGGAGCCAAGGCTCTGGGAATCAGTGGTGGGGGTGGACAAAGACAGCTGCTGTAGTTGAGGATCCCAACCACAGGCCTGGGGAGTGCTCCTGCCAAGATGGCGGAGCAGATCTGGGCTAGCACCAGATGACAATGCTGTCGAGTACTGTGCAGGAAATGACAGAGATGGAATGGAGGGTTGGAGGAGCATTGGCCAGCACAGCCTAGCAGAGAGGTGGACAGGAAACAAAGGATGGAGTTCCGGTCCTGGTTAGACCTCCAGCCAGCATGTTATCACCCAAAGTCAGTGGCACAGCAACATGTTTGTGTTGTACAACTATATTGGTGGGTGAGAATCTGGGGGTGACAGCACCTCACTAACTTTCTGGTCCTGGTGAGACAAGGTCATCTCAAGGTGCTATGGAGAGTCCCTCCTCCAAGCTCTTATGCACGTGGCTAGTTCTTCCAGTCACATGTGCAGGGATGTTCAACCTTTTGGCTTTTCACAGATACATTGTCACTCCAGAGCCCTGCAACTGAATTACGAGAGAGAGGGAGAGGAAGAGGAGAGGAAAGCAGAGGAGGGGGGGGAGGGAGGGAGGGAAGGAGGAAAGAAAAAAATTGTAAAATGTTTTAACTCCATTTTATGATTTCTAGCTATCCTGGGGTGCAGGCAGCCTGTGCACCATGGGTTTGACACACTGGTGATCATCTCAGGACCTATTCACTAGGGTCCTCAGAGCCAGTGAGCCCAAGGGCCAGAGTAGGAGGGCATCAAGGAGAAGGTGGTGTCAGGCAGCTAGTCACTGCCAGTGGTGTCCTGTCAGCTTGGCTGCTACCAGTTAGAAGTGAGTCATTCAGGGGCATGGGTCACAAAGACACAGGCAGCAGAAATAAGGACCCACAGGCCCGTGGCAGCTGTCCCACAGTGACTAATGCTTATTGGGCACTCACTCTATGCCGGGAGCCAGGCCAAGCATAGAACATGTATTAGACATATTAAAACACTTGTATTCTCTTCTAGATGTAGATCCTATTATTCTAGATTGGTTCTTGGCTCAGAGAGAGAAGCCTGCTCAAGGACACACGGCCCGTGCTGAGCCAGCAGAGCGGATGGCCAAGCAGGCATTGCTGGCAGGATTCAGCAGCCTAGGGATGTTGAGTCAAGGCCTCCCTGAGTTCTGCATCACCAGCTGTTCTGTGGAGCACCTGAGGCCTGGGGCTTGTGTCCTGCCCCCTGCCAGGCTGGCTCTGGCCCTCCCTTAGAAGTACGGAGGCATCAAGCGGGGTGAGCCAGACCCAGCTGCTGCTCCCCACCCCCACTCTTTCCCACTCCTTGCTCATCTGGTTCCCCAGCTGTTTCCACACCATCAGCACCCAAACACATCCCACCCACTCCGTCCCAACTTTCTGTCTGTCAGGATAGCACGTTCCCCCAGGATGTACACTTAGCAGCCCTCTTTCTATATCTGCCATGTGAGGGGGGCTGTGGGGGAAAGGGTGTCAGGGAGACTTTGACTGCAAGGTCTTAGTGTTAGCTGAGTCATCTTGACAATGACTTTCTGAGTTAAGCCAGTGAGGAGGGAGGACTTTCCGGGGGAGCACATAGGTGTACCCATGACTTTGCCAGGAAGACTCTGGATTCCAGATCTTTCTGTTAGCTGTAGCTGTAGTCAGGCAGAGAGATAGGCATCAGGAGACTGAATTGTCACTTTCTGTATTAAACATAATGTTTGCCTTAAAAAGATTTTAGAAATTTAAGCTGGGTGGTGGTAGTACACGCCTTTAATTCCAGCACTTGGGAAGCAGAGGCAGGTGGATCTCTGAGTTTGAGGCCAGCCTGGGCTACAGAGTGAGTTCCAGGACAGCCAAGGCTATACAGAGAAACCCTATCTTGAACAACCCCCCAAATTTATACATATACATATACATATACATATACATATACATATACATATACATACACACACACACACATATGTAAGTGTGTGTATCCTTAAAGTTCAGAAGAAAGCATTGGATCCCTGGAGCTGGAGTCATAAGTGGTGGTATGCCGCCAGACATGGGTGCTGGGAACTGGACTCAGGTCCTCTGGAAGGGCAGCAAGTGCTCTTAACCACTGAGCTATCTCTCCAGCCCCCAGTTGGCTTTTTAATCACTTCTGAGTATCCAGTCGAGGGGTTCCAGGGGTTAAGCATGCTCCCCACCATCCAGCTCATTTTTCCACTTTGAGACCCAGGCCCCGTCAAGGCACTATGTTCATTCAGCCCACCGCCATCCTGCCTCTGTCTCTATGACTGTGCTGACTGTGGGGATAGGCAAGAGGGGAGTCCTCCAGCTCTTCTTCCTTGCATGTCTGGTTTGTTTCCCTCAGCACAGTGTCCTCAGATTCAGCCTGTCGCAGCTGGCAGGACTCCCTTCACATTCAAGACTGGACAGAATTCTGCTGTGTAGGCAGGCCACACTGCTTCTCACTCACCTGTGAGTGACTGCCTGGTCACCTCTGTCTCAGCTACTGTTGTGAAGATGGTCACACAAATGTGTGTCCAGGAAGGCTGCTTCTGGGAAGAAGCCAGGAAGGACACTGCTGGAGACAGCAGGTAAGGGGGGAGGTATGGAGAGAGGATGAGGGAGGATGGGGAGTGGGGAGGAAGGAGGAGGGAGGATGGGGAGTGGGGAGGAAGGAGGAGGGAGGGTATGGAGAGGGAGGAGGGATGGTAGAGTTAGGGGAGGGAGGATGGGGAGTGGGAAGAATAGAAAAGACAGGGATGAGGGAGGAAGGTGGAAAAGGGAAGGGATGTTGGGGAAGAGGAAGGAAGAGAAAGGGAGGAGGATGGGGAAGAGGAGAGTTGTTGAAAGAGCAGAGTTGGAGTGGGGGGTAGGGATGAAAAATAGGGTTATGAGGTCTGTGACATCTGTCAACTGTTCATGAACCCTCTCGGTTGCCACACACTCGCCCGTCCCTAACCAACTGCTTCCCTGAGGCCCAGGACCATGATTTCTCCTTAACCTTTCCCAAGGAGACAGATTTAAAGAGACTCCAAGAGCTACCAAGAGCGAGCGAGCTGACAGGACCCTGAATCCAGACCCTGGCTGCTCTGGGCTCTGGAGGAAAGAGACAAATGTTGGCACAATGAAACAAACCCACTGACACAAGACGAACAATGTGCTGGGTGTGGCGGCACATTGGTGGCAGTGATCCCACCGCCCAGGAAGCTAAGGCAGGAGGATTGCAGATTTGAGAACAGTTTGGGCTACATAAAGCAAGATTCATAATACAAACATACATATAGGATATATAGATATATATCCCATATGTATATACCTTGTAAAGTAGAATATTCTCCAACTGCTAGCTACTGCTGTGTGACAAATAACCCCGCCTGAGAGGCTGCCCCCACAAACATGATCAGCCATTGTTAGCTATTGGTGTAGTATTGATGCATCACCGGTCAGCTCCATGCACAGGAGTAAGGTAGTGTCCACACACCAGGTACCTGAGTTGGGCAATCAACTCTGCTTTACCGGAAGTGAAGTCCCCATCTTTCTCCAGAAGGTGATGGCAGAGGCATCTTGCAAGCACATCTGTAGGCTGCACTGGCCGCTCTGTTACAGCGCTCAGTCCCAGGACAGAGGGCAGGGACACAGTGAAAAAGAAGGGATAACCGTGCTGCCTTCTGGAATGTTCCAAAAGAAGCTGAGTGCTCGTGCTGGCCCTCCCTGGAAGGAGCAGTGCTTTTCATACTCCGAAGTTCCCTGACTCCATCTCCCACATCCTGTGATCAACACTGATAAACACAAAGGAACAAACAAATCCACCCTCAGGTAACCTCAGGCGGAGTAGACTGCATCTCCAGTGCCCCCCCCCAAGTCTCTAGAGGGAGTAAGAGCTTCTGTCTGGGGCTGATGGGTATTACCAGAGCTCCACAGCTTGAGTGGGAACTCAAGTGTTTGTGGAGAGAACCAAGCTATGCTGACAGTGCCCGGAGGAGACTGAGCCTGCTGAAACACTTGTGCCCAGGTTGTGGCTGTCGGCCACCTCCACTTCTAGACTTGCTCTTTCAGGATGTGTGCAGGTGCATGTATGTGTGCATGCGTGAGTATGTCATGTGCATGTGCTAGCGAATTCATGTGATTTATGATGGAAGGTGCTGCATGGTCTCTTTGCTTCTGGTTTTGGATTACTGAAGAAAATCCTGTTACTTGTATATGGACACCACAAGTCTGTTTATCTAATTTTCAGACACGGTGTGATCTCCTGTCTTGACTCTAAGTAGGATTTATATGTCCCCAGATGAAGGTGAAAACCAAGAGGCTGCTTCACTCACAGGAGGTGGTGCAGCCTCACAGGGCTCAGTGCACATGTAATACAGATGCAGAAGACAAAGCGTTGTTTTCAGTTTAAAACCTTTAAGCTGGAGGAGCTTGGGAGACGGCTCAGTGGGCGAGAGCCTGTCATGCAGACTTGAGGACAGGGGTGCAGGTCCTCAGAACCCATACAGAATCTAGACGGACATCATAATGACAGGGTGGAGCCAGACTCTGTCAAACACAATGGGAGGTGAGGTGGTCCTCTGGCCACACATGGGCATGAACTCTCTCCTCCTCTCTCTCCTCTCTCTCTCCTCTCTCTCTCTCCTCTCTCTCTCCTCTCTCTCCCCCCCCCCTACCTCTCAATTCTTGGCTACATGAAAATCTGCTTGTGCTGGATAGTTTTATGCCAACTTGACACAAGCTAAAGTCATCTGAGAGGAAGAAACCTCGATTAAGAAAATGCCTCCATAAGATCAGGCTGTAGGCAAAATTGTAGAGTGTTTTCTTAATTAGTGATTGATGGGGGGGGGCAGCCCATTGGGTGTGGTGCCATCCCTGGGCTGGTGGTCCTGGGTTCTATAAGAAAGGCTGAGGGGGAGCAAGCCAGTAAGCAGCACCCCTCTATGACCTCTGCATCAGCTCCTGCCTCCAGTTCTTGCCCCGTGTGAGTTCCTGTCCTGACTCCCTTCAGTGATGGGCTCTGATGTGGAAGCATAAGCCAAATAGACTGTTTCCTCCTGCAACTTGCTTTTGGACCTGGTGTTTCATCACAGCAATAGTGACCTTAACTAAGACACTGCTCCGCTATTGTTAAGCAATCCTGACATGAGGGGTGTGTAACTGTCACTGTGACAGGTTGGGATGCTGGAAAAACTTGTTCTTTGCCAGGCATGACTGCTGTTGGGGACACACAGGTCCATTCAGGGGACAGTCAGAGACCAGTGTGCCATGCAGTGGTTCTCAACAGGGTCATCTGGAAAAGTCTCTAGACATTTTTAGATGTCAGTGACAAGAAGAGAGTTTTTTCTTTTTCTTTTTCTTCTTCTTCTTCTTCTTCTTCTTCTTCTTCTTCTTCTTCTTCTTCTTCTTCTTCTTCTTCTTCTTCTTCTTCTTCTTTTT